TCATAATAATAAATAAATAAATTAAAAAGTTACAAGTGTCTTTAAACAATTTTGGGGCTATGCATCTTCTATCTTCTCATGATTTATTACTTATACATGTAATGAGCTCTAGTTTAAAAGACTAATGATTAACAAAAAACATAGTCTGAAACTAAATATCATAAAGAAAAAGAGTTTACATTTTTAGGATTTCAGGGAGCTTCAAAAGAGTTCAACAAGATAGCTCCTTATCTGGGTTTGCAAATGCTTCTTTAAAGATGTGTAGCTTCTTCGTTACCTCTTGGTTACTGGTAGTTTAATATGGTTGGTTGTCCAATCTCAAACATTAGTAGTGATTTACTAGATAAAGTCAGCCTCCCTAGCAGGTTACATTGAGGAAGAGGGAGGATCCACATTCCTAACGGCAATGTAGAGAGAAAAGAAAAAAAAAATGCTCTTTAAATCCAAGTGGGTTTCACATTCAACCCAGCTCATCATGAAAGAAAATTTCTAAAATGAGTAAATGACAGCTGGCTTCCTGCTTCTCATTCTTTCCCTCTTCATTTCCTGCTCAAGTCTGCCTAACCAGCTGACAGTTGGACCACACAAGATCCAATGATTGTGATCTGGAAAATGTTCCGTGTAGACTGGCTTAGGTGTGGAAGAAGGAAGTAGTTTCAAACTAGGAATGAGCCACTGTGCTCAGGTGACCTCAGTGGCTCTGGGAATGGGCTGATTTCCCTGAAGTGGATGTGCTACCTGATTAAATGGTGGGCTCCTAAACAGAACAATTGATTATGAGGGGAAAGACATAGAACGTCAACAAATGTCCACTACATGGAGCATAATTAAAAGGAGGGAAACAGAAGAGGGAATAAAGGAGAAAGTGAGGCATTGCAGGAAGACTCCTCTAAAGAAAAAAAGAAGGGTATATGGCAGCCACAGGGCAGCTGAAGAAGACATGGCAGACCAGAGAAGCAGAGAAAGAAAAGTAAGAAAGACAACTGGGAAGACAGGATCTGCATTAGGGAGAACGAGGAATCACCCCAGGACTTGAACTTCTTAACCATGTTTAGGGAAGGGTTCCCAACCTTTGACTGTTTTGTTTAGTTCCTTCTAGCCAATGAAACACTTCAAAATGGAGATGTCGCTAATGATTGCTGGGGCTCAGGTCAGTCCTAGGGTGACAGATTGAGCACAAACTGCATCTCTCCTGCTCAGATCACAGATTGAGGCCTTACGCTTGCTGCACCCCTTTCTGTGTGCCAATAGCTTGTCATAGATACTGTCAGTTGGTCACTGGTCATGTCTGGCTAAAGTTCTGGAAGGCTTATCCAAATGAGGACCCTCAGAGACTGGACAGACCTTTTGGGGAATAGGCAACTGAGTAGAGTAAACAGCATCTAGCCCTCTTGTTTAAGAAGATTATGGAGTCTTCTGTCTACCAAGTTTCCAGGGCTGGTAGGATGCCTCCTTCACAGACTCCTTCTGTGTAACCTAGGAGCTATCCATGAGTTTCCAAAACTGTGAAATGGAAGGACCACCCAGAGTCCACAGACCCACTGGAGAGACTCTTCACCATGGAGAGTATCCTATCTTTCGGTGTTTACTATGTTAGTTAACAACTAGTAGGTCTTTGTTACAGTAGTGACAGATCTTTCTTAAAGCAGTTTCTCTGGTTACAAATTCATTTTAACATCATTGTCTCACTTCAAGCATGTGGTTTTCCACAGTTCCCCTTTAGTTTTTCATACACAGGGAGAAGAAGAAACATTCCACTTCCTCACAATAGTTCATTCCAAGAGATCCAGGCTTCTAATGGCTAATGGATGAAAGCCAGAGATTTCAGAAGACAATAAATAAGTGTACAGAATGCTGAGAGAAGCATTTCTTGGCAACTGTGAATAGTTAACAGGCAGCCAAAGTTGGTCTCCTCAGTAAACAGATCAAGCAGCATCTGGTGGCATCCTTTGAACAACACTAAATTATCTCTCTGCCCCAAACATTTCTTGCCCATTGGCTTTGCTAAGATGATAAAATCTGTTTTGGGCCAGGCGCAATGGCTCATACCTGTAATCCCAGCACTTTGACAGACTGAGGCAGGAGAATTGCTTGAGCCCAGGAGTTTGAGACCAACCTGGGCAACATAGAAGGACCTTGTCTCCACTAAAAATTTTAAAATCAGCCAGGTGTGGTGGCACATGCCTGTAGTCCCGGCTACTCTGGAGACTGAGGTGGAGGGATCTCCTGAGACCAGAGGGTTGAGATTGCAGTGAGGTGTGATCGTGCCACTACTCCAGGGGAAGTGAGTAAGACAGTGAAACACTGACTTAAAAAACATTTTTGCTTTTATAAAAGCTTTGGGTTCAGAGTAAATGCTTTTGTGAAATAAAAATATGACATAACCTTGTTGTTCCAGAATGTGCCATCCTCAAGTCCTTCATCAGAAAGATCCAACTTTATACCTTGGCCATAGACACACCTGGGAGCCCTGGGTGATGTGCAATCTTTCCTTATTGTTTCTAGGGGCCCCACCCACTGGTGGACCCTGATGGTTTTTTCTCCTGGTTTTCCCCAACTTTTTTTTTTCTCCCATCCGCCCGCTCCTCTCCCTGATCCTGGACTCTCTCTACTCCATCAAAAGTCAGGGAGCCCTGATGGACCTTTGGGAACTCTAGACCCATGCCGTCCATTACAGTAGCCACAAGATACACGTGGCTATTGAGCATGTCAATGTGACTAGTATAATTGAGTTTAAATTTTAATTTTAATTGATACAGAGTTTTTAAAATCTGAAGCTGTTGAACACCGCTAAATACAATCTTATTGTTTTGGTAGGAGTTCATTTCACTCTAACCTTTGAAAATTTACCATTGAATTGAGAGGTGCTAAAAATGTCAAATATACATTGGAGTTCAAAGTCTTAGTATAAAAGAAGAATGTAAACTGTCTCATTAATAATTTTATATTGAGAAATGTTGAGATAATAATTTGGATAATTAGGATAAATCATATATATTATTAAACTTAGTATCACCTGTTTATTTTTACTTATTGAATGTAGCTACCATGAAATTTAAAATTCCAGAGGTGGCTGTCATAATTCTAATGAGCAGCAATGTCTTGATTTTCACTTTCTTCAGAACCAGTACACAAACATACCATTCTCCTGGCTGCACAGGTCACTCTTCACACAACAAATTCAATATCAGGAGACTCCCCACCCTCCAGGAGAGCAAAGCAGGGGAGGGGCAGCACAGCCCACAGCCATCGCCAGCTGCAGCCTTCAGCATTGCTGAAATGCCACATCAGGCAGCCTGCAGCAGGTGGGGAGTAGAGACATCAGCCGAGGGTTTTGATGGTTGGCTTGGAAGAGAAGAAAGATGAAATTGTAGACAGGTGGGAGAATGCACCAGGGCATGGGGTATTTTCAGGGGAGCCAGTTGAGTGTGGAAACATAGGGGTGGCCCTTGGACATGGAGATCTTGGGATCCTGGAGGGGTTAGTATATCATGAGAAAGGAAGAGGTAACTGAGCGAAATAGAAATACCCCAAGAGCAACCTTGAGATGGACTGCAGGCAAGCATTCTTCTGGAGACAGGACACAGGGTTATTCCTTCTGACATAAGACAGTTTCTTCCAGGTTCTATCCCTTCTCTTCTGTGTAGCCTGCTTGAAGATCCTTCCATTGATGCCACAGCTGCCCCATTGACCCTATTTGGTCCTTTATGCCTACCTCAATGTCCTTTTGAGCAGAAAGCTGAGAAGCAATTTCCCTGAAGGCTTCTAAAGTCTAAAAACGTAGACTTTCAGGGGTCATTGGTGTCATTTGAACACATTGATACAGTTCTACATCTTAATCATGTCCAGTCCCCTCATCTTAAATGAGAAAGAGAGAGATAGAGACACAGAGAGTAACTGAGAGGGAGACACATAGAGAGAGACGGGGTGGGGGTCAGAAACAGAGAAAGAGGGACAGAGAGAGAGACTGAGAGAGAGACAGAGAGGAAGAGAGACAAAGAGACACAGAAAGAGACCCTGAGAGATCTTGAGCGTCACCCAAGATCAGTCACTACCCAGGATCAGCTGACACTGATAGAAACAAGACTGGGACTGGACTCTCAGGCTGCTGAGTGCTAGTTGGCATCTGTCACTGCTGTATCACCTGCACTGGTTTTAACTGACGATGCCACTCTAACTTTAACATTCACTTGTAATTTGAGTTCTCTGCAGAGCCCAGCAGGTTCTGGGCTGTCTCATAGACTGTCCTGTGTGCTGATGATCTCGTGAAGAGCTCAGTAACAGACAAAATATTTTTTGAAAGATTTTTAAGGAATAAAAATGATAATTAAAAATTCTAAGTGAATAAGTTTTGAGGTATTCACTTTGGGGAAAGTATTCTCAAATAGCATTATTTACTTTTCATTTTGGAGATTTTCTGGGCTGACCTTTAGCAATATTTCATGAGAAAAGGAAGGAATTTGGTTAATTCCAGCTATCTGAAACTAAATAAATTAAAATTAATTAAAACTAAATGCTATGTATAGATGTTTCAAGATTAGAATCAAATAAATAGCATGACTTGGTGGTTACAAATCAAGGGCAGCTTCAGGAGGCTAAAGCTAAGAGCAGAGCTTATACATGAGAAACAAAACATCCATAACATCTCAGAAACATGGAAAAGTGTTGCAATTGAAACTGTTTCTATACGGGATGCAATCTACAATATCCAGAAACTTTCTATATAGTGAACTCTATGCTGTATCGTTTCATCCATTTTTCCAGTGAAAAAGATAGATACACCAGCTATTGGTATTGATGGTACCCTTTTTTCCATTACCATGTAAGTAATGGAATGAGCAGACTTTCTGAGGACAGGTGGTAGAATATGTGGAATTCATGCTTGTTCTCTTATAAGGAGTTATTTGTACATGAAGTCTCATGAACATGAGATTGAAAATGTGTGATTTATAAGCAGAAGAAAAAAATCTTTGAATCCTCATGCCCTGCCTTTCAAATATCTGGCTGATTTGGAAGTCTTTCAAAGCTCATGCTACTAAGCAATTCAGAATTCCTAAGGTTATACATATTTAGCTAATATTAACTCCTCTGCTAGCCACCCTGGGGCATTTTGCATGCTAGTCTTCATTTTTTCCGTCTGTATTTTTTCTCATCTAGTTTTTTTAGAAATGTTATTCCTATTTCTGTCACACTGTCGCCTTTTAGTCTGTCTTGCAAGAATGTGACATCAGCAGCCAAATGGACCTAGGAAAAAACATAAAAACAGGACTGTGTCATTCAATTTTTTTAAAAAAACTAAATTGTTCTCAATCTCTTCTTTCAGCTTTCTTAACTTTCCTTATGGAATGATAAAAAATAGCTTGTTGTGTGGATGAAGTGCCCTTCCTGTGTATCCTTCAGAGCTGGTCCAGCTATGTGTCTGCTCTGGGGTGTGAATCTGCAGAGAGAAGGCAATGTGGGCCAGCAAGGATGATGGAGGTATCCCCTGTGTGCAAGCCTGTGTCAAGCTTAGCTCACGGGACAAAGCTGAATTATGGACCCATCTCAGGAAGAGCACAAAGTCCCAACTCGGAGATAGCCTTCCATGTGCTTGACCAAGCAGAACTTCCAGGGATAGATGGATTTTGAAAATACTCCTCTCAAAAGAATTTGCCATAAATCACTCTGGCATTAGCTAAATAATGCAACCACTTGTCCCAACAACATTTAGCAGTCGCTTATGGCTTTGAGAGCTTTAAAACAAATCAACTAAATAAACTATGCATATAAAATTAAGGACTGAGATCATAGATGTGAATATTTGATCCTCAGATCTTCTTTCCCCCTAGAAAGCACTTCCATCTCCCAGACACTGAAGTCATCCCTCAGAGCTCACCTCTCTGTTTATTAAAATGCATTCACACAAGAGGAGGGTGACGTTGCTGACCAGCCCTCAACAGAGTATTTATTCAGAGTGATTTTAAAACATTGCAATAAATAAGATAAATAAGTGAAAGTACCCAGTACAGGCAAATCATGAGTGAAAAATGCCTGGGTATGGCAGGCAAATAGTTAATATTTATTGAATCTTATCTGACTCACTCCTTTCTCTCACTTAGAACTCCTTAGTCAACAAGCCTGGATTTTAAGACCATTAATGGCCCAAATTATCTGACTCAAACAGGGTGCCGAAGCCATGCCTTGTGATGCTTACCACTCAACAGAAGAATGTAAGTTACACTTTGATATACAGAAGTTAAATTTACCCTTGGCTATTTCTTCCATAAAATTTTTTGTGTCTTTGTCAAGATTTAACAGAAAATCAATAAAAATAACAAGGAGACTGTGTTGGAGTTATTTGGATATTTGGGACCACTTGAGGTCTGATACAATTTGTCATTCAGCGCATGTAATCAACTGTTCTTCAAGAAATCTAGGGACTTCTTTATCCTGTTTCTCATTAAGTTTTTATGGCTCCTCCCCCTGTCCAGAAGATCCCAGACAAGTCCCATTTCCTTCCTTGATCGCATAGCCACTGTCTATAGAACAAGCCCAAGGAGGTGCCGAATGGAGCATGGAGGCTCTGTGTGAAGCAGACATTGCTTCTATTGCTTTCCCCTTTGGATTACCTGTTACTCTGTCTTTTCTGGAATTATCACTCATGATTAAAATTTGCATGCATGCTTGTGACTGGTGAGGTCAGTACATGTCTAGACTCTGGTCACTATCTGCTCCCACCATTCTCATTAACTAAGCTTCCGGAAAAACGAGACTGTTGACTGTTCCCTCTTTGCAAGCTGATGTTGGCTCACCAGTCCATGACAGCTTGACTTCCCTAGCTCTGCTCTCCTGAAAGAGTTTTCACTGAGGCCTCTCCCCGACCTGTCCCCCTCCCATCCCCCTGCGCCCCCCCATCTTCTGGTCCCTAAGCACTGTGAATATTTTCAGTTTTGTTTCATGCAGACACTCTGTTGTGCTTGGCCTTGATAGTTACTCTCCCTTCATGGAACTCTCTCCCTTTCCTCTGTGCCTCCTGCTTTTCCTACCTCTGATGACACCTTCGGAGTATTCCTTGCAGCCTCAGGCTCTGTGTTCTCTGTTGAAGCCCCTTACTGAGTTCTGCCTCCTCCCACAGGCCTATCTGCAGTCCCTTTTCTTCTTGGTCTCAGACTCTCCTAGGCCATCCTACCAGTCCTAAGATCTCTTCTGCCCACATCTGTCTGTGAGCACCATACAGGTATGAACACCTGCCTGTGGGACGTCCTCCTCACATATGCGTTAGACCTGCCTCCACCCAAGCAAGTTCAAAACTGAATTCCTCACTCTGTCTCTCCCAAGCCCAGATGTCTCCTCCTGGTTTTGTTCCTCTTGGTCTAACAGGACACCCATCTCCCTGAGGTTTCTCAGAACCTGAAATCCTTCCTGAATCTTTTTCTCAACTCCATCGCTTCCAGCTAGCCCATAATCCAGCCTTCCCTGTTCTGCTCTCACAGTGCCATTTGAGTAGACTTCTCCTCCTTCCTGCTGCTGGCACCTTGTTCTGGGTGACCTGAGGTCACCATCATCTGTTTCCCGTCTGCCCTCCTCCCTCCTGAACACTGTTCCCCTTGTGTAATTTTGCTTGGTTGACAAAGGAGTGAAATTTCTGAAATATACATTTCTAAATATCATTCCCCCATTTGTAAACCTATATTGACTCTGCTGCTTTTCATATAAAAATTCAGTTCCAAAGTTGCTTGTATCAATCCTTTTACCAGGCATCTACGAAGAATTCAAATCTTCTTTCTCGTAACAGTTCCTCTCGATCTACACATAAGCCATACTGACTAGTTCAAGTTCCTTGTTCCTTTCTGGACCTTTGGGCATGCTGCTCTGTCCCCCTGGGATATTATTTTTCCCTGCTCCCCTTTTCAAAAGTCTTCGCCTAACTCCTATTTTGCTTGCAAAATCAGGTTCAGCATTTCTCTGGGAAGTCTAGGAAGTCCTTCCTGCCCAGGTCCCCCTGTAGCCTGATTTATACTTCTTCTCACATCTGACTTTTCTATTAGATGGAAGATTCTTTAAGGGCCATGACTCTGTCTTGTTCATCTTTGCATGCTCAGTGCCTGACACATCACAGATATGAATCATTGTTTTAGTTAAACTGGTGAGTAACTCAGGTGGGAAGCAGACTCCTACGGCCTGCGATGGTCCCCTTCCTGTTGTCCAGTTTATGCCGCACATTGCATGGGAGCTGGCAGCACAAGATGCCAGGTGGGGATGACACCTGCAAGAGGTTTATGTGGCCAGGAACTCTAGGAAGCCTCTGGCCACTGCCAGCTGGGCACTGAGGTTATGCAAGCTTGAAGTGGATCCTTCAGCCCCAGGCGAGTCTCCAGAGGTGGCAGCCCCAATCAACAGCTTGACCATACGTGTACTGGGCTGGGAGCATCTGATCACAACCACCCAGCTAAGCTGCTCCCAGATTTCTGATCCTCAGAAACTGTGTGAGCACATAAAAGTTGGTTGTTTTCAGCTAGAACATTTTGGGGTTCTTTGCTACACAGCACTAGATAACTCATATGCCAGCAAAATGAAGCACATGCTTTACCATTTCCAGGGCGCCTCTGATAATCCCACAGAGTAAGTTGCAGTAGCAAAGAGAGGACCGTCCTGCAGGGAGCTCTTCCACAAACTCCACCAGAGGGTTCTTGTCCAGAATCAGGGAAAACTCATTTCTGCTTGAATTGTTGCAGGTCACACTGGGTGTAATTCCCAAGTACATCTTGAAAGCAACCTGACAGAGAGGGGAAAGATCATTAAACCTTGGTCTAGAACAAATACCGATTAGTAGAGCAATGAAACGCCCTACTGCAAGCAGCTCAGGGTGGTGGTTAAGCAAGTGGAGTCTACAGTCAAGGCTCACGCTCGGCTCGGCAGTTTATTGACCCTCTAACACGTGAAAGTCTAAAACACTTTGATTTTAATGAAACATCCGAAGAGACCAGTTTTCTTGGAAACAATATGGTTTATAAAAAAAAAAACTTCCTGAAGGCATTATTTTCAAAAGATCTTTTTAAAAGATATATGTCCTTTAGGAGAGTAAAACATTAACATCTTACTAATCAATATATCAGCATGATATTTGTCTCACTGGCCCTAGCAAAGGACACAATCCTGAATGAAATGAGACCCAGGGCATATTTGCCACTAACAGTTAGGTGACGGTCTGAGCAGAGGATGTTATGGATAGATTCAACTCAGAATGCATTTGGGGAAGTGGAGGGCACCATATCACAGTTGCCCCCCACTCCCATCTACAGTTTCAGTTACCTGAGGTCAGCCATGGACCAAAGATATCGATGGAAAATTCCAGAAATAAACAATCCATACGTTTCAAGTTGTGCTTCTGAGGAGTATGAAGCAATCCCGTGCCACCCTGTCCAGAATGTGAGTCACCCTTGTCCAGTGTCCCCATGCTGTACATGCTCCCTGCTGGTGAGTCACTTAGCAGCTGCCTCAGTTATCAGATCAAAAAACATAACATAGACAGGTTTTAGGACTGTCCACAGTTTCAGGCAGCATCCACTAGGGCTTTTGGTTTCAAGCATCACTCATGGAAAACTGGGGACTGTACTATGGATGAGAAGTCTCTAAGGGGGTGTGAGGGGGAGTGGCAGGCAGCACATAAAAGAGTAGCAAAGTAACTTCTCAAAAAAGCCTCTGTTTTACAGGGCTTGAAGAATTTTACAATGTAGAAATGGAAGAAATATCTAAGACTGTTTCTTTTAAGCCCCTTGAGTAAACAAATGAGTCAGATGATGTTCAGAGAAGTAAAATGGCACTGCCAAGGCCATGCTGTAACTCAGCTCCTTGGCTCCTTGTCCAAAACAATTTCATTTCACAAAATATATAAGCCTGGACTTTGAAGTTTATTCATGGAAATTTGTCAACTTGATGTGTTGTCATTTTTCCAATATCTTAATTAATTTAAATGTTAAAGTTAAGAGCAATTGGCAGTAATGGGAAACTGCCAGGGAAAGGGGACATACCTCATCAAGGGTACCTGCATAATGAACATTTGTATGCCTAACCCTGAATTGTACCCCACATATTTAAAATTAAATTTTTTAGCCGGGCTCGGTGGCTCAGCCTGTAATCCCGTGCCTTTGGGAGGCTGAGATGAGTGGATTGCCTGAGCCCGTGGGTTTGAGACCCGCCTGGGCAACTTGGTGAGACCTCATCTCTACAATAAATCAAAAATTAGCCGGGCGTGGTAGCGCGCACCTGTAGTTCCAGTTACTTGGAAGACTGAGGCAGAAGGATCACCGGAGCCCAGCAGGTCGAGGCTGCAGTGGCCGGGAGCGGCCACTGCACTCCAATCTGAGAGACCGAGTGAGACTCCAACTCAAAAAAAAAAAAATTAAATTAAAAGTTTTTAAAAAGTTAAGAGCAATTTATGAAAGAAATGAAAACAATTTTCTTAAGGCATTTATACTTAGAAGAGCTAAGAGTTTCTCCATTCATTCATTTATTTATTCATTCATTCAGCAGGTATGTATTGAGCACTGCCTGTTTAGCACAGTGCCTGGCACACAGTGGACATTCAGGAGTAGCTTGCAAAATAAATCGCATGAGCAACATTCTGTGTTTGACAGTATGAGTGGACCCAGAATGCACAAATGTTGGCTGAGTGTGTGCCAGGTGGATGGGCTGCAGGGAGTGTGGTGAAGGGCATGGAAAACCTGATAGGGTGGGGGAAATCTGCATTGGTCAACTTGTGAGCAATGGCCTTTTTTCTCTTTGTGCATCTCCAACATGGATGCTTTTCAGGGTATTTTAAAATTCTTCCTTAACAAGAATCCAGTCTGCCTCAGAGGGACCTTCATTTCAGCATGGAGGATGTGGAAAGGCGTGGGCACGAGCCAAAGACAGCGGCATGAATCCAGGTTGCCGTGATCACTCAGGAGAGGAATGAGGAGGGCGCTTCTCATCCTGTCCCCCCAGAACTCAAACATTCCCTGAACTATTCCATATAAATCCAGATAGTCCCAATCAGAAAATGTGTTCCCTAACACTAGTCAGTTTAACAAGACACAAAATGAACCCCTGGTAGCCAGAGAAAAAAACCATTGTGGAATTCTAGGTTGAGAGATTTGACTTGGCTCCCAGTCAACTGACTGAAACCCCCTTCTGCTAATTTTGAGTTCACATCCTGGAAAATTGCAAGGCTACTATTATTATTCAGAACTTCTTTCTGAATTTCGATCCAAGCCACATGGAAAGAATGTAAAAACGGAGCCTGTGCCCTCGGAATTTACCTCTACTCTCAGAACTCAGTCTGCAGTGTCCTGGCCTGACACCCACCAGCAGGAGGCAGGATCTGAACACTGCTGGGACTATTATATTCATTCCTAGGAAATGACATTGTCTCCTTATCTGGCAGCTTTGGTCTGAAGGAAGATTGTTGTTTCTGAAGAAGAAAGAGCTCCACCCTCAGCTCTCACACAGCTGTGCTGTCGGCAACAAAGGCAGAGCCTTTTTTCTCTTTGTGCATCTCCAACATGGATACTTTTCAGGGCATTTTAAAATTTTTCCTTAACAAGAAAACTTTCATTGGTTACAGCTTCCTGGCCCTGCTGACCGTGGGAGGTGAGCTTCTCTTTTCCGTGGTGGCTTTCAAATGCCCCTGCAGCACTGAGAACACAGCCTATGGGCTGGTTTTCCTCTTTGCTCCAGCCTGGATACTGCTGATCCTGGGATTCTTCCTGAACAGCAGATCCTGGAGACTCTTCACAGGCTGTTGTGTGAATCCCAGGAAAATCCTCCCCAGAGGCAACGGCTGCCGCTTCTTCCAAGTCCTCGGCCAGATCACGCTGAGTTCACTGGTGGCTCCGGTGATGTGGCTTTCTGTGGCTCTGCTCAGTGGAACTTTCTATGAATGTGCCATGAGTGGGACAAACAGTTCGAGACTCCTGGAGTGGATCTGCAAGGGCAAACCAAAGCAGTGCTGGGGAGAACTCCACAAGGTATCTTGTGGCAAGACCAGCATGCCACCCGTGGACACGGAGGAGCTGAGACTGTCCCTGCAGGCCCAGTCTCAGGTAAGAGGGGACAAACTCACCTTTTCTCCAGGCGTGAGCTTGAGGTAGTCTCTCTGTCCTACTTCTAGCCAGGGCTGAGTCTGAGTCCTGCCAGAACATTTTCAAACTAAATGGAAGTTGAAACATGATGCAGCCTTGAGATGGTCTCAGGAAAAGCTTTTTAGAGGCTGGATGGCTCCATAAAATTGCTGATTGGATGCTGCTTTTCCATTTCCAAAACGAAAATATCCTCTAAATTATGCATATGTACATACTTAAAACAATCTCTCTGGATTGATTTTGCAAATAAATAATGTGACACTAAATCATAAACGTTGTATCAATGGCATAACTATAATTAGAAATTAATCCCTTCTTTCAATTATTCATTTTCAAACTGGTTTCTCAGATAAACACACAGATAGCTGAACCACATGAGTGAATGCTTTTCAAAGTTGCATGTGATACAATTAGTGGAGACTCCCTGGAATGATTTCTGGCAAATGCTATCTCTGTGAATGAATGTTGTCAAGATTGAGAAGGATTTCCCATAAATGTAGGATTCAGCAGGCTCTAGACAGCCTTCTGTGAAAAGTGACCATGCTCTCTGGGGAGATTCCGTTGTAGACCCTTTGTGCTGCACAGCTAGAGAAGTTCTTCCGTTACTACCTCAGAAGTTCAAGATTTGGGCATTGTTTCATTTAGCAGAAGGAAATCATGGCTTTACTAATTGGTGCAGGGAAGCAGCGTGCCATTCCTCCAGGCACATGGACACAAATCCAGGTGCACAGCCTTAGGAAGAGACTGGCTTCCTGTGTGTGAATAATAGGAATTGCATTCCCCGAACTGAAACAAACAGAGTAGATAAACAGATCCAGTTGGTCAGAATAAAGGCACTGATGTGATGTAATTTGAAAAGTAAAACTTTTAAAGTAAGGATGATTTGTCTTGGTAACAACACATCAGGACAAAGTCTGCTTTTAAAAACCATACATTCCAAAACTGGCGGTAGCCAAGTCACACTCTTTTCATAAACTTATAAGTTAAATAAGGCCCCCACATAAAGTCTTCTGTGAATGCATAAAGCACATCTTAGATTAGCCGTGCCAGGCTACCAAATGTCCTGAGTCTTTTGTTGAAGGAAGGTGTGAGTAATCAACGTTGCCACAGGATGAATGACTTCTGGTTGTGTCCTCAGGCGCCAGGCTCCATTCAGGCAGTGCCAGGCCCAACACCCCTTGCTATGTGAGCTTCTCTTTCCTAAACACAGGCACAAGGAAGTCAGGCACACCTGGCACTGCTCAGGCCCTGCTGACTCTTCATCATGATGAGAAGGGCCTGGGGCCAAGTCCTGTGGGAGGTGTGTGAGTGAAGCAGGCGGGAGCAGGTGTCTCCATAGCAGGTGCCAAGCACAGAGGCCCTTCCAGGCAGGAGGCAACACACAGCCCAGACCAGCAGCTGGGCCTACAGCTGGGGGCGGAAGGAGCACATTCCTCCACCAGTGGGCAGAGGACCAAGCAACCCAGCCGAACGAATTCATTCTTAAGGAATTAGGATGGAGAAGTGGAAGGCGCTCAGCATTGTCCCAGGCTGGCACTGGGTTTGAATCCTAATGCTACTACTCACCAGCTATGTGACCTGGAGCTGGCGGAGTGAGCTCTCTGTGCTTTGGTTTTCTCAGGTGGGGTAATAACACCTACCCTGGAGAGTTGGTGGAAGGATTTGCGAAAACAGGCATAAAGGGGCATAAAGCTTCTGGTACACAGTAGGTGTCCTGAGTTGAGGAGAAAACTGCCAGGGTCAGGAGGAGACACGCAAAACAGGACTCTTGAGGGCCAGGACAGGAACATCCACCATGTGCTAGTTCAGCTCTGGGTGCTGCAAACTGGGGATGAGCATGAGAGGACTCTGCTCAGCACTCAGTGATGGTAGGTGATGGCAAAGACCATGCCCAAGGGGAGAAGGAATGGGAAGCGATGGAGCATTTGCCAGCTCAGCAGCAATTGGCCCAGATTCAGCTTCCTTATTGTATTATCTGTGTCTCTTTACCATGAAGAGTAAGAAATAACATGGGAAAAATCAGCCACTAGCCATGTCAATGCATTTATCGATGCCTAAAAACACCTGGCTGAAGAACTGGTCATCTGCTCAAATGACCACATTTCCTCATGCTCAGAATACTTTCCTCTAATAGCTAATCCCTTGAGAGCTTGATCTATCTAACTTTTGGATAATCTATATGTTTTACTCTTATCCATTTGCTGGTCTTCTAGTTATTTCTTTGACTAGTAGCAATGTTGGGTAGGAGTATAGAGACTAGGCAAGTGTTAACTTTATTTTGGCTATTAAAAAATATTTAAAAGCCAGGCTCGGTGACTCAGCCTGTAATCCTGCACCTTTGGGAGGCTGAGGTGAGTGGATTGCCTGAACCCGCGGGTTCGAGACCCACCTGGGCAGGGGAGACCTCATCTCTACAATAAAATAAAAAAATTAGCTGGGCATGGTAGCGCGCACCTGTAATTCCGGCTACTTGAAAGGCTGAGGTGGAAGGATCACCGGAGCCCAGCAGGTCGAGGCTGCGGCAGCCGGGAGAGGTCACTGCACTCCAATCTGGGCAACAGAATGAGACTCCAACTCAAAAAAAAAAGAAAGTATTTAAAAATTAAGATGAATGATTTCAAATGACGTTCGGCCATGACCTTGGTGCTAATTTAGCTATGTACTCCCCAGTGATACCACCCCATCTCCCTGAGCAGTGACTTTGCATTTACGTGCCCTCAACATCTCTCTCTTCCTAAGATCCTAGGATGGTGCCTGATGTGCTCAGCGTCTTTCATCTCTCTGCTCACCGCTTGCTATGCTCGCTGCCAATCTAAAGTCAGCCACCTTCAGCTGAGTTTCTGGAAGATATATGCACAAAAGGAGAAGGAGCAGCTGGAAAATATGTTTCTGGACTATGCCAGCAAGCTGAGTGAGAGGAACCTGAAGTGCTTCCTTGAAAACAAACGGCCAGGTGTATTTCCCATGCCCACGTTTGCTGCCTGGGAGGCGGCTTCAGAGCTGCATTCCTTCCACCAGAGCCAGCAGCACTACAGCACCCTCCACAAGGTGGTGGAGGAAGGTCTGGACCTTGGCCCCGAGGACAACGAGACAACGATGGTCCTTGTGGGGACCGCCCATGATGTGTAGCTCTCCCCCACCGACTTGGTGTCCAGGGGTAACACAGACTCTGAGGTCCTCCTGCCATATCAACAGCAGCTTGGGTGCCTCTGTGTTTTCTCACATGCAAAGTGTCTTTACAGGAAAATAACAAAAGGAAGCTGCTTTGAAGCTCTCAAGCGAGGTGTCAGGATGTGCCCAAACTGGTGCTGCAGGTGACAGAGGTGCTCTTGCATTGGTGGAGAGTTGAGTTCAGTGGCCCAAACGTCACTCCAGGTTCTAAGATTGCAATGAGACTCATGCAAGAAGGTCTGCCAGTCCCTGTAAATATTGGTCACGAAATCCAGGGGCAGAAGCAGTGGCTCATGAGTGAGCAGATTACTCCTAACATAGGTGGCTGTGCACAGCGGCATCTGCAGCGTGGTCAGCAGACATCTCTGTCCTGCAAACCTATTCCACTGTCTTTCATGGTTGTATGAAATTCTACCATATGAAACTCATCCCATTGAATCTAAAAACCTCAGTTCTAAAAAATAACCAATTGAAAGAATATGTTGCCTAAAATTCAGAATTTCTCCTGCATTTTCACTGTATACTGAAAGCATGTCCCTGGAGTCAGGGCCACATTATGACTTTTGTGGGCCATAGGTACTTTTGCCTTTGTGGACCTTTTGCTACATTCAAAATAGTAAATATATATACATTTACTATATATATATGTATATTTGACTATATATGCTATATATATTTATGACTGCATTGATATAAAGATGAATATATAATATTATATATTAGAATATTTTAACCTAAAATTTTTATTTATTTCCTGATTAAAAAAACAGAAAACACTTTTATGGACTTCTATGAGTATCATGGCCCCGAGTACAGTACCTGCCATACCCTAGGAGTATTGTGACTCCAGGTACAATGCCTGCTATGCTGTGGTCTTATGTGTCTCTTCCATCTGGCTGCTCCTGAGTTGTATGCTTTTATAACAAACTGCTTCATGAGTAAAGCACTTTCCTGGCTTCTGTGAACCCTTCTAGCAAATGGCTGAAGGTAAGAAGAGAATCATAGGAAACTCTGGTTATAGTAAAGTCAGACAGAAGACATGGGTGACTCAGAAACCTGCTCATGATTGGCATCTGAAGTGGAGGCAGTCTTGTGGGACTGAACCCTTAGCCTGTTTGGGGTTTACATTTAACTTGGGTTAGTGTCAGAAATGAATTAAATCGCAGGACACTTGCTGGTGTTGGAACATTGATCAATGTGGGAGAAAACTCACATATTTTGTGGCCAGGAGTGTTCAGTGATCAGTGTGAATGTGGATTTTTAAAAGTTTGGTTTTTTCCACATACAAATATTCTTGGAAACATGGTGGTGCAGGGTCAGGGGTCTGTGTGTGTGTGGCAGAGACAGAATAAGGCTTAGGGACTGGGGAGACAGAGGTGTCAGAACAAAGGGAGATAAAATGAACAAAGACAACTGTTCCCTATTAACCTTTCTGTGTTTGGCACTAGCCTGCTGTTAGGTGCCTGCTGAACTGAAAGAAGGCACTTGGAACTAGTCGATGCTCGTGTTTCTCTCAGGGTAGGAAAAAAGCTGAAGCAGAAGCTCTGCAGAAGCAGTTAGCTGTGGGAAGCTCAGGACCGAGGAGTCAATTCTGGGGTATGTTTCTGCCATCCTCAACCCCCGGGGCTTTCTACAGTCAGAGAGCTTACATGTATGACAAAGAGTGCCTCTTTCAAGAATCTCCAAACTGGCTAGTAACAAGCCAGCAGCCTGGGGTACTTTTTGTTGCAATTTAGTAAGTAGCAGAGAAGTTTATCATCCTACTCTGGAGCAAGTCACCCCACAGGCTCTCATCCCCTCTCCTGGTCCTAATTTCCTATGGAATAGCCCTTTACTCAGGAATAAAACTGAAACGAAGACCCACTATTGTCTGTCCATGTTGCCAGGGCCCCTAGAGAAGGACATGGCAAGGGATCAAGTGGCCTACATGCACCCACATTCCTGGAACTGACAAAAGGGGCACTTCCCTTATCTCCCAGGCACTCCCAGTAAATAACTTCCAAGAATCCTTAACTTCCCTGCAGACTGTGCCCAGTGAACTGAGAGAAATAAATTCCCACTTACTCCCTTTTCTTAGTAGCCATAAGTTTGAATAATACAGCATCAAGGCAATCATAAGTCTTGTGATTTGTATAACTTTTCTATCAACAAAATCACATAACTTTTGTATTCATGTAATCATAAGTCTTGTGCTTTGCATAACTTTTGTGTGTAACAACATGTAACAATGTATGATGTCTTAGGCCCTGTTAACTCCCTCTAAAAGCTTGATTAATACTTCTGCCAGGTGTTACTGATAAAAAGCTGCGCGATACCTCTGGTAACTGGCACCGGAAGATGTGAACCAAACTGGCGCCAGGAAATGTGAACCATAAAAATGTTATTATTGACAAAATGTGGCTGTAACTTAGGTTCTATACAATGCTCTCTGCTTGTCTCATAGTCAATGATAGGTACCAACAACCCTGAACTTATAAAAGTGGACTGTAAAACTTGGAGGATGAGTAGAACCGTTTTAGAAAAGCCTCGAGTCTGGCTCTGCTCCCTGGATTCAAATTCAGAAGTAAACTTATTTCTACCAGTCTGTCTGCCTCTCAATTTATTGGCATTGAGGCTTAGCAGTCAAGCATTTAACCTTGGACCACAACAAAACAAGTCCAAGAAAACTTATGTGTCCCGTGAACAGCCTTGGAGGGAGGTAGGTGAAGACAAGGAGAGCACACTGGTGTTTTGGGTGCCCAGAGGGTGTGGGAATCCAGAGGGAACCCATTTTGCTGGGGGAGACTTTAGAAGAATGGACAGTTTGTTGTCTTAGGTTGGGTTCCCTGGAAGCCTGACACAGGAAACTGTGTGTAAATGATTTATTAAAAGGAAATCCTCTCAGGAGAATCCCATTAGCAGGATAAGCACAAGAATGATGTGGTTTCCAGTGAAACCTGAGCCCAATCAATCCTACTGGGAATGCTGGGACATCGGCCTTGGCTTGATCCATGGAGAACTCTGCAATGTCAGCCTTGGCCGGCTTCCAAAGGGGAATCTGGGGCCTTGAGTTGTTCCAGGGCAGGAGAGGGCAATCCCCAGACCACTCTGGGAGAGGAGCCTCCCATGCCTGAGGCTGGTTCTCCAGAGGAGGCCACACTACAGCAAATGGGAGGTGAGCACCCTGAATTTGGATATCCAGAGAGGACACCGAAAAGGTCACACTGATACCTACCATGATAGTCTCTCTTAGGCCTAGAACTGAAACATATGAAAGAGATCTTTGACTGGAGCCAACACAAATCTGGGCTGACTACCTATCTAAATTCTAATTTCCCCTAAAGCCAAAGGATAGAAGATGTGGCTATCAGCAAGGCCTGTCTTTTCTGTGCCACTGCTGCTTTATTACGGAAAGCAAAAGAGTGCAGAACACTCTTGGAAAGAATTCAGTGCTTTTCAATATAAGAGATACATACAAGGAAAAACACCTGTTGGCATAGAACACCTATTTTGTCAAGTTTCAACCCATGAATAAATTGTACACACATATATAATTCTCTTGTAGCAGGAGCCAACCACAGAGAGAGAGATGGGACACCAAGGCTACTTTGCCAGGAAAACAGCAGTTATTCATGCCGGGAATATGCATCCAAAGGCTGAGCCCCAAACTCAATGAGACATTGCCTTATATACATATTAGTTTCTTTGTCTCCCATACAAGGTAGCAGGTTGGCATTATCCATTTGATTGGATATTTTGTAGCTGGAGGTGGCAGTTAGCATTACTTGTTACACACTGATTGTTTTTACATAATTATTTCATTTGCATGTCCTATTTGTTGATTGGCTCACAAGATCACCGTTCTGATTGGATTTCGCCAAAAGTTTGAACATATAGCCTGCCAAAGTGAAAAGCCCATGAAAAGTGTATCACAAAGCAGGAAGTAACTCATTTTTCGGTTTCTTATTTCTGCATTTTCAGAAGGACCCCTGCCTCACTGTGTGTGTGTGTGTGTGTGTATGTGTGTGTGTGTGTGTGTGTGTGTGTGGTGTGTAGTTCCTACCTTTTTGTTAGGCTCAACTGGTGTTTTAGGACACATTCAGTTTATTCATATCCAATGTAAAAAAGGAAAAAAGAGATTGGGCAAAGACTACAAAAATAAGGTATAATAGACAAATCACTACATAATTCTATGCATCGTACACATTGTAAGATATACATGTGTCCAAAATAGCATTTTTAAAAAATGTATGGTTTTCTACTTGAGGTCTTTGAAGTATCACTGAAAATGTACACATTTAACAGAAAAATTATAAAATTATTGGTTAATATTAGATATTTCAAAGCCTGATGATTCATCGTTTTCTATAAAAAGTGGTTAAACAATCCAGAAGCCAGGCTTGGTGGCTCAGCCTGTAATCCCGCGCTTTGGGAGGCTGAGGTGAGTGGATTGCCTGAGCCCGCGGGTTCGAGACCTGCCTGGGCAGACGAGACCTCATCTCTACAATAAATCAAAAAATCAGCCGGGCGTGGTAGTGCATGCCTGTAATTCCGGCTACTCGGAAGGCTGAGGCGGAAGAATCGCTGGAGCCCAGCAGGCGAGGCTGCGGTGGCTGGGAGCAGCCACTGCACTCCAGTCTGGGCAACAGAGTGAGACTCCAACTCAAAAAAAAACCAAAAAAAACAGAAGTCACTAGGTAGCAGAAAACGACTACCTTTTCTAATATGATAGACTGCAGGCATTTCAACTATTAACAATACTATTCTACTTAGACTTTGGTGGTTCTGAATTCTCTAAAGCTACTATCTTATTTATTAATTATTTTTTTGAGTTGAAGTCTCACTCTGTCACCCAGGTTGGAGTGCAGTGGCATGCTCATGGCTACCTCAGTCTCAATGTGCTGGACTCAGGTGATCTTTTTGCCTCAACCTTCCAAGTGGCAGGGACTACAAGCATGCACCACCACATTTTTAATCTATTGTAG